ACAAAAAAAAATCATTAAAATTCTTTGGAAGATTTTGTATTATTTTTTCATACTTTTACAGGGATTAACCACAAGAGCTATTTTGCGCTAAGAAAGTGCCTTACTTGCCGACACTTTTCGCTCGGACTCGTTAAAATTCATTTCGATTCTGCTTTACTCTGCTTCGCATTTTAGCCGGGGCCACCAATGGGTTAAGGTAGAGAGTCGGCAGGACTTTGTCTCTATCTCCGCACGTGTCACCGATGCCGCCGCCGTTGCCGCATCCTGCGTAGCTTTATAAACAATTTTGAATTTTGCGGTTGTGCGAAAATTAATGGATGCCTCGCTCTTGTGCGGTTTTTGGCCGCGCTTCCAGACACGCCCCCTTCCCCCCGCCGCCACTGGCAAGTGCTGGGCAAATTTTAGCATTTTGTCATTAGCGTTTGCTTTCTGAAAACGAGATTGTTGTTTGTCGTTGCGGTGCTGCAGCTCTGCTGGTGCGATTTTGCAGCTTAATGGCGGGTGAACTTTACACGGAAAAAATACAGTTTGGTCTAATAGATATATTGAAGTCTATAAATTAGAAAACAACTTATAATTCCTTGGAAATGGATTGCTTACCTTGAAAACTGAAACTAAAGATTCAGCGTAAAATTAAATCGGTTTATTTGAACTGAGTTGCTTACACAATAAGCATGGAAGAAGTCATTTGAACTTAAGCATCCCAGCGATTTCTGCAAAAAGTTGATGCAATGCCACCTAAGATCAGAAATATTTTCATATTCTTGCTGTGCTTGTTTACGGCAACCCGAAAGCGACAGAGTGCAATCAATTAATGCAGCAGGCGACTCCTAAGATGGCTCACACCCAAAAAATGTTTGCCCTGAGTTTCGGCTGCGGTGGTGCAGCATGAGTGCAGCTTCCACATGTGTGAGTGTTATGAATAAGACAGGATGGAAACTTGGGCTTTTGACTTTGCCAGCGCCAAGGAGTCGAGTCAGGCAGCCAGGCACGGTTAATAAAACAGACAAACACTCAAACTTTCGCTATAAAAATTTCCAACGAGTGTGTGGAGGTAGCAGAAGCGAGTTTTTTAAGTTGCCAGCGTTGTTTGCTTGCTAAACAAGTGCTATTAAAAGAGCATAAAAAGGTGGAAGGTGAATTGCGATTTGGGGAATGGGGCCAGAGACAAAGGAAACCCAGCCAGCCAGCCTTCGGGCCATCGTTAGGGTCCCCGGCTGACTGCAGGATACTCGCCGTAATAAGCCCAGCAAATCTTCATGCAAACTCAGAGTTTTTATATTTGGCAGCTTAGGTGCACTTCTGCACTTGTCCTTTTGGTGTTTTTAATGCACTGCACAGAGCAAAATAAATGAAAAAGAAACAAAAGCCGTAGGAACTACATGATGCAGTGAAATTTTATGCGCTTAGTTTTTATTACGGAATATTTTGCATGGGCAGTATAAAGCATTATCCACTAAAACTGCTGTAAAGTCGGTGAAGTGTTTGTTAAGAAGTACAGCTCCTTCCAGCTCAAGAGCCCCAAAAACTTTGGCCCCGCCCTTTTACGGGGCACACAATTCCGAGCTCGATGCGATGCGTTTGCCTGGCCAACGGGGCGTATGAGTAACATGTGCACTTTATGGAGGAAGGGGCCTATTTGTTTTATTTATTTTTCGCCGCTGTGCTATTTTGAGCGTGCATATTAAGCAGGACATGGCTGAGTGTGTGGCCATGGCAGCAGGACAATCCAACGGGCAGGATAACAGAGGCCCAGAGACACGGCCAAAGTGCAAAATGCAGTAAAATATTGAAATTGTACGGTTCCCGTTGTGCAATGAGCCGCATTGCCAGCGACGTTTCAGTGTTCTCTGTGTTTTTTTCTTTTTGTGCACTCACATGTGGGGTAAAATTTTGATTTTACGTGACTGGCATCGGACGAATGCAGTTACTGGGTACTGTCAGGGGTACTGAAAAATAAAATGGTGCACCGAAACGTTCCGGGAGATCGATTGTGGGTGGGCGACTTTGGAGCAGCTTTTCTCTTATTTCCAATTAGCATTGCAAATTCATTTTCAGTTTATCGGTCTGAAATATTTCCGGGAAACCCCGAGTGCTCCTGCAAAACATAGATCACGTTTGAATCTGAATACCTAACCAGAAATTACCATTACCATAAAACATCACAGGAAATCAAGTTACGTTAGACCCAATTTACAGATGGTAAACCTTACTTATACGTTTTTATATAGCAAAAAGTTTGATAACAACCCCCAAGGAAAAGACGTTAAATCATTTGTTTTTAATTTTGTTTTTCTGTTTTTTGATTAACATTTTCCATTTTATTTGATTATTTCTCTCTGCTCGGCTGCAATCGCTGGCAGCGCCTTTGTCTATGCATATATTAACGTGTTTGCAGCCACACACTTAAGTGTGTTTGTGTGTGTGATTGGTGTGGGCCGGTGTGTGTATTTGTGAGTTTGTTCCGGGGGCTTCGTTTGGTTTTGATTGAATTGGATAGGCTTTTGATAGGCGCTTAACATAATTATGACATTTTGCTTGCACACTTTTCATAACTCTCTTTTTATGATGTTCTTTTTCTGTCTGTTTTTATTTTATTTTGCGTTTTTTTTCTGCTGCTGTCACAAATGCAATTATATAGCCGTGTTGTTGGGTTGGTTGGTTGGGTCAGATGGCGCTATTTTATGATCTATCATATGTCTGCGCTGGGCCTTTGCAAAAACAGATGCTCTCCTGCAGCTTTGTTTGCACTCGGCTCTTTTTTACATTTATATGCAAATATTAATACAATTTTCTTTTATTTAGTTTCCTTTGTTATGCGCACATATTTCTTGTTTTTAATTATATGTTTTGTATATTAATTTTTTGTTTCATATATTTATATGTACATACACAACATTGAATCATTTATTTATATTCCTTTTGCTTACACCATAACTATGTTTACATAATTAAATATAATTATGCTATTATATGTATATATCATAGAGTATTTCTGATTTTTCTTCCATTTCATTATATTTATTTCGTAATTTTACCATACTTTTCCAACATTTCCAACATATGCTCAGCTACAAATTTATTTAATTTTCATTGGTTTCTCCATATAGTTTTTAATTATTTATATATTTATATTTATATTTACGCATAGCTTGCTCTGACACACAGTTTTCTTGTCTGCTCAAATAACATTTAGTATATATATATATATATGTATGTATATATATAGGTGTATATATAGATTTGTATATATGTAAAGTGATGCATTCGCAGATGCACAGTTTGTCGTTGGCTCTCAAAAAACACGTTATGCCAAGTTGAAAAAATAAATCAGTTTCCTTTGTCCGTAACATCGATTTGCTCTCATCACAACTTATAGAAATTAGACTCGCTTCTTCTTGGCTCTAGTTCGATTATCCATCCAATTGAAAGATTTCTAATTTTGATTTATCCGTTTTTCCGTTTTTCATTATTTTTCCTTGATTTTTGTTTTCTTTGGTATGTAAAAAATAGTTTACAATTTGTATTCGTTTTTCGATTTCCGTTTGTTAGCCATTTCGCCTTTGTAAATACAATAAATAATTGTGTTTAGGTTTACATTTTAGTGTATAGTGGTACAGTTACTCTTACGATTCTTAGCTAAACATTGACTACATTTTGTATTTTGCTTTTGCTACACGTTTTCCTTTCATTTCCTTTTCTAAATATTTCGCTATTTCCTTAGTTTCTTATAGGTTTCCCTTAATACATTTACACGTTACACAAACACAGATACATGATTAAAGTTTCTTGTGTGTGGTGTGTGTGTGTGCGTGCATGCGTATGCGTGTGCCTGTGTGTGTATTTGTTAATAGCCTCTTCTATGGATATCGTTTAGGATATATAGTTTTATCTAGTCATGGGTCCGTCTATATATATATATATATATATATTCTCTGGCTCGATCGATCGTTCCGTTTTCAGTGCAATTATCTACTCGATTTCTGGTGATTTTCTTGGGTTTGGTTTAGTTGTCGGTGCCTAACTCAATTAGTACATTTACGTTGATATTTCTCTAGATAATGCTGGATAAACACACATAATCGTGAATCAACTGATCGAAGCTAATGGCGGACCATTTGACTTACCCTTGACTACGTACTAATTCTTAGGTCTATGCACATCGATATATCGGTGAAATGATCATCTTAACGGAACCTATTGGGAAATTATCGGCTTCATGAACTGCACCGAAAATGGAGCTAAGTTTCCAAAATGAATTCTCAGTCAACGAAACATTTTCATTTTAACGTTTGTCTGTTTTCTTAATCTACGCTTAAGTATTAGTTCCTTTTGTATGCTTTCTGTTGCTTTATGAAACGTAAGCCCTGGTAAATCATAACCACCTTCTTAATAGCACCCACTCTATTCTTACTCTGGTATATACATAGCTACATACTCGTGTATATGTTTATACCTACTAAAATACATGTAGAGCTTTTGGTTTTTCTTTCATTATTTACGTTTTTTTTTCTTACTAAGGCGACTTTCTGAACCACAGGAAAGCCCCTCAAAAATAGACACAAATAACACACATTCATAACTTTGGTTTTCGGGTTAACCATTTCGGGTTTTGCGATTGATTAGATCAACGTGGATTATGACTATTGCACTTTCCGGCCTGTGTGGTTGTTGCAGCTTCGAGTACTTAATCTACGGTAAGTTTGCTCTTCTCCTGATTTCAGCCAACAATGCTGCCCCTTTTTACACCTCTGACATGCCGTAAACTTGGGCCGTTGCTTGTTGTTGTTGTTGCTGCTGTGGTTGTTGCTCGTTGTTTGCTACCTGCTGCTGTTGTTGCTGTTGCTGCTGCTGCTGCACCCAGTGCGATGGATAATACAGTTGGGGGATATAGTGTTGCTGCTGGTGATGTTGGTTGTTGGGTTGCTGCTGCAGTTGCTGATGCGCCTGCTGCTGCTGTTGCTGCTGATGTGGTTGTTGCTGCTGGTAGGGCGGCTCCTTCACATACTCCCCGGACGTCTGCTGCTCATGTTGCTGCTGCAACTGCTGCTGTTGCTGCTGTGTGGGATACATGGCCATCCCTCATGGCAGCTACACGAGCAAACTGGGCGCCAGCCACTCGTCCTCCGCCAGCTAAGCGATTCACAATCGTTAGACACCGCCGCATCAAATCGCAATCCCCGCCAACTCACCTGTGGACTGACCTGGAACTGCTGCATCGGATAGGCGACCACTCCGGCCGCCTGTGGCAAGGCGCTGCCCACGCTCTGTGTGATTTGCGGCGCGGTGGCGGCCGCAGCACCGGCCAACTGCGGCTGGGGCGGTACACTCTGCCAGGTTCCCGGCAGCTGGACCCCCATTCTAAAAAGGTCGAAAAAATACAAGGGAAATTTAAAAGTTATAAACAAGTGAATAAAAAAAGTTAACTATATCTTCATAAAGGTATCATTATGGGCTATTTTATCCTTGGGCCTCAAACTCACCCCATGTATCCTGCCTGCTGGTAGCCGGCGAATTGACCGTAGGTGAATCCCTGCATGCCCTGCAGGAACTGGCCCGGCTGGAGGGCGCTGGCGGGGGCTGCCGCCGGATATGTGGGTGCCGGCGGGTACCAGTATCCGGCCACCTGCTGTCCGTAGGCTGCCGCTGCAGCCGCCGCTGCCGCCGAGCCGAAGGGGAATCCCTGGGCCAAGGCCCCACCGGCAATGGCCGACATGTGGTTGGGGTCGCCGCTCTCCTTGCCCCACGCACACTTCACCGGCTGCTGGTTGATCTCCGTGTTGTTGACGGCCACGATGGCGTGTGTGGCTGCCTCTTTTGTGGAGAATCTGTGGGGATCCAGAGAAAAAGGATATTCGAATTTGAATTCCCACTGAAAACTTTCTTTATGTGATTGAGGGATTGATCAATCCCTTGGCTAAACTTATTATTAAATATCAATAAGTAAATCATGTTTTTTTCAAAATATTTCTTATTTTATGGTTTTAAGTGTAGAAAAATCTAACGGGACTATCTCTACTCTTTTTTTTTTTTTTTCACAGTAAGCAGATTGGCCTGGTTTAATTTCCGCTTAACCCGCTGCGGCAACAAAGCGCAAAAGTGGTACAAGCGTCTGTGGAATTGTTCCGTTGTTGCCGGATTGGTTATAATGATGCAGCAACTCTGCCACAGCTGCTGCTGCACTTGTAGTCCCCGAGCTCATTATGTTACAAAATGCCAAACAATGCCTCCGCTCCGCTTTGGCCCCCCTTTCACTCACTTTCTCCCCGGCTTTCTTTCGCCTTTTTTGCATCACGTTTGCAACACACAAATGAGTTTTGGAGCAGTGCACAAAAGGCGCCCATGGACATGGCCAGCAACTGCAATGCGTTGGCTGCCCGCCCGTCGCCCTCATCGCACTTCACTGTTACACCTGGAGAAAATAGGTGTCTAAAGTGGCTCAAACTATGGCTATGTTCTAAAAGTTTACTTTTTGTCCCATGAACTGGCTCAGAATAAACTTAACTATTAACTGAGGGAAGCATATTTAAACTTGAAAATAAATTGAAATATTTTTCGTTTAGTGCACCAATCCTATCCGTATCTCCCCTTTTGGTTGCGGAGGGGTGAACTCAGTCCGTCGTGGGCCAACGGCTGCCATTAAAACCCTATCAGCATTCGTGACGGCAGCTGCGATCTCCACCGCCAACACCACTAGCACCACCGGCACCACTGCACCACCTCCAGCACAGCCAGCACTCCTTGGTGAGGTTTTTTGCTCGCTCATACCATTCGTTCATTCCGTTTTTTTTTTTTTTTTGGCTTGCTCTTTGCCGTACCATCGTCGTTGTCGCTGTTATTGCGGTTCATTGTTCTGTTTGTAACTTCAAATTTGCCTCCCTTTGTTGTTGTTGTTGTTGTTGTTGTTGCTGCTGCTGATGTTGTTTCCTTTCTTGTTGTTGTTGTCTAGTGTAAAAGTGTTGTTGATTTATTAACGGCGGGCTGTTGTGGATGGGGGCCGCTCACATTGATATGGCGTGTGTGAACTCGGCGACAACGACAATGGGAATTTTGCGATGACGCCGGCACCGCAGACCGCAGTGCACGCACACTCACACAGAGGCCAAATCAAAATGGCGGGCAACAAAGGGTTAATGTAGCATACTCTTAAGGTCATAAAGAAAGAGCAGCGAGCTGGGGTGGAGTTCTTTTTTGATACTCATTTTTTGCAAGGAACAATTTACTCCAAAAATATTATGTTAAGTTTAACATTAATCTTAAAAAAATTTACTTGTGATCTGCATGAAAATTTGTAAGTCCCTCCTTATGTATAGGTAACCAATTTGATAAAGGTAATTATTTTGATTATTGTCACAGTGTACTTACCGCACAAATGCATATCCTTTGTCCTTGAAGACCCGTATCTCCTGTATTGTGCCGTAGGGCGAGAAGGTCTTCTGCAGGATCTCCTCGTTGAGGAAGCCAGAGAGGGCTCCGTTGATGCCGCCACAGTAGACAGTGCAATTGGTGGGGCTGCTCTGATTGTAGACCTCGTCAAAGGTCAGCGGCTTGGCATTTACTGCAACGAGCAGAAATGACAATGAGATGCGGGATGTTGGGATGGATGGGATGTCGCCGGGACCCAGAGATCCAGGGGAGATACTCACTGTCTGCCTTGGTTGCCGGCGGCTTCCGTGTGGCCCAATTTGTGCGTATCGAGCGAGAGCCCAGCCATTGGCCATTCATTGCAGTGATGGCGGTTTCCGCCTCCTGCAACGAGCCAAATTAAACGGAGAGCGCAATTAGCTAAGAGCCCATCCCATTTACGCGGGTTTGTCTAGCCGCCTAAGCCGCTTACAGCGGCTGCTAAGTCTCCGCCAAAGACTTTGGCTGCTTTTTCAGCGAGGCCAGCTCAAAATTTATAAACAAACAGCTCAGAAAGTGTTAAGAAAAGAGCAGCAAAAAGTGGCGGAACACTCAGAAAAAAACATATACAATTGTTGGTAAATATGAGGTGCACACTTAAGGCTAAAATATTTTTTTAAGGCAAAAATATTTTCGCATCCTTGCTCATGAAATAAATGCAGTAATTTAATCATAAAGTACAAATTTTTTGCCTAAGTGCTTAAACAGCTACAAAAAATATAAAGAAAAGAGAAACAATCGCGTTGGCTGGAAAGTTGCTCCTTGTGGCAAGCAGGCGACATTGTTGCTGCAGCTCTTTGATTTCCTCGACTGTGTGTGTGTGTGTGACGGGGAAAGTGGCAGGGGGTCCTCTATACGTAGCATTTACAAGGCCGTGCACAAATTATAATTTCAATTTCGCATAAAAGGTAATTCGTGCGTATCAAACGTGATTCATGCCGAAATGATTGCAACTGCCAGAAGGTCTTGCATGCAGTCAGCCTTCTATGTGTGCGAGTCAGATGGAGAGTATGTGTGTGTGTGTGATCGGATGTCTGTATGTGTGTGTGGAGGGCGTTTCATAGCAATTTACTTGCGGCGCACCAGAAGACCGAAGACCGAAACCGAGCGCAGGCAGCTAAAGCAATGCAATGCAATAATGGCATTTGCGGCGCTGCAGACGCTGCAGCTGCTCATTGCACGTTCTTTAAATGGCGGCAGAGTCGAATCCGCATCCGGATACGACTGCGGCTGGCAGAAACTGTAACTAGGCACCTACGACGGCCCACCCACCTCGGTCACCCGTCGTTTCTTTTCCTTTCTTTTCTCCATTAATTTTCCTACTCTTTGTGGCGGCTACGTGCAACGCTCGAAATAAGCGCTGACATGCACCGGCTGAGAAACGACGCTTTCAAGCCGAAAGTAGACTCCAACTTTACTTAGGGAACAACTTTCGAGCTTCTGTTAACCGGGCTTTAAAAAACTGAGCATCTACATCTAAAAACTTGACCTCTTTTCGTCAAATTCTTTTATAATTTTCAATTGGTTTTTGAAGTTTTTTATTAACTGATGGTGTTGATATTCATGAAAGATTTTTCTCAGCTTGCAGAAAGGTAACCCAATACGGCACTTCCATACCCTTAACTCAACCAATTTTTTTCCTATTCCAAAGTGGCATACCTCTAAACATTTGTGATGGGATTCTTAAACGAACTGCATTCAAAGTTTTTCATTTCCTGATGGTCTAATTTTTTCGACCTATTCATGTCAGATTTTTAACAGTTTTCAAGGTTTGCCAAAGAGAGACCCAATACTGTACTTCCATACCCCATAACTCCACCAATTTTTATCCGATTTCAATGTGGCACAGCTCTAAAAATTTGTGTTGGAAATCCAGAACGAACTGCATCCAAAGTTTTTCATTTTCTGAAGGTCGAATTTTTTACCCCTGTTCATGTCAGATTTTTTTAAGTTTCCGATGGTTGACAAAAAGTGCGCAATATTGCACTTCCGTACCCTATAACTCGAAAATTTTTTATCCGATTGTAAAGTAGCATCCCTCTAAACATTTGTGTTGGAGTTTCTAAACTAACTGTATCCAAAATTATCCATTTCCAGACGGTCGAACTATTTACCCCTGTTTATGTCAGATTTTTCTAAGTTTACGATGGTTTGCAGAAAGCAGCGCAAAACGGAACCACCAAAACCGCTCATGTAAAACTGCATTAAAAATGTTCAGTGCCGCAAATCTTTTCAGGATCCGATAATTGCTAGGCTACTATTGGCATGGGAACTACTTATAAAGCCACTGTATTTAAGAATACAAATTTAAGCCGTAGTGCATAAAGCTTTAATACGAATGGCATTATTGCTGTGTATTGGTTTTCTTGGTCCTTTAATTCAACCACTTGAGCAAAAGTCAACAATTGAGTGCCTGCCCCGTCAGCGATAAACCACGCAACTGTCGCCCAACTTTGGCCGTAATTTAATGTCTGCATGTGTGCGTTGTGCGTGTATTCGTGTGTGTGACGGGGTGTGTTTGTGCGGCATTTGCGCGAGTGTGTGCGTTTGTTCCCGGCCAACGTCGCTCAGTTTGCGTGCGTGCGCATTTTTATGCATTGCCAGTTGCATTTTTCATATTTGCATAAACTATAAATTTTACATTTTTTAAGCGATACGCATCGTTGATTACATATACACTCACGTTCCCTTGCAGCAACAACAATGGCAACCACAACAAGAACAAGTCCTGCAAACAATACCACAGCCACCCCATCGTCCTGCAATTTTCCGCCGGGCATGAAAAGTTATTTAAATATTTCACCATTTACTTTACGGCAGCTTTAAGTCTGTTATTTTCCCTGTTGTTAGCCCTTCGCCGCGGGAAACATGATTTGGAATTATCAAAAGGACAGGCACTTCAAGTGCAGTTGTGTCGCCTTCTTTTCCATTTCCAATTGCAATCGCATGTGTCAATGAAAATTGTTTTAGCAAACGCCCGGTTCTATCCATGATTGTGTGGGGATAGAAGGAATGGAATGAGTGTTCGAGAAACTTTGGCCAAGGCTAATGCAATAGCCAAGCCAAGACGGAATATCCTCACACACACAAAAACTTGTCCTCACTGCAACGGACATTTTCGGTTGAGTTTTTCCAGTATTTCCAGCTTTGACAAGTCTTTGAAGTCGACAAACTTTATCAATCATTTTGGTGGTAAATTACTTAGAAAACAGGAAGTGGATGCTAGCTAAAAAAACTAAAGAGTATGTGGAAAAATAATTAATAAGAAAAAACTTCGTAATAGTTAATAACGATTTTTATATTGTCACTGCAATCCAGTTCCTAATTTTTTGTTCCTTTAACTTAATTTAAATGGTGCAAATGCCCAAATTTTCTTCTCAGAGTTCATCCATTTCAATCCCAAAATCTCTAAGCACCCCTAATGAGTTGATTTTAACACAATTTTGGGGCTCAAGAGCCTCTCGAGCAATTTCGCAATTCATCTTGCTCAAGAGGAGCCTCGACGACCGCAATATGGCACCCACTACGACTTGTCAAACTATTTATGGAAGTCCTGGCCCCAAAACCGAATCGAAACCAAAACTGTTGTCGGCAGGAACGTCTAAGCTAATTGCAAATCTACGGCATTCGGTTGAACTGAAGACAGACGACAATGGGACCTGTTTTCGGCTTTGGACCATTCGCATCATTGGCAATTGGAGCGACACATTTTCTTTGTGTGCGGCTTTTGGCTGTTGTTTGCTTGGGCGAAATTAATTAATGGTGAATGGCGAATTTGCAGCTAATAGGAGGAAAACTTGAATCGTTTTCCGGTCTGTCGCTGTAACAACCAAAATGGCTTGCACAGGGAAAATAAATCTATAAAACTTTGGGTTAAACTAGTATCAAAATTATGGTTTAGTTAAAATATTTGAATATTTTTACCATTTAGGCAAACAATTATGGTTAATAAAATTTTTCAGCCTCGTTTTAGTTCCACTTTTAGGAAAGCTCACAAATTAATTCGCTTTGATTAAAAGTTGAGGCCTCCGTCGAAGTTTTTCCTTGTCGCTGGAAAATTTCCTAAATGACAACTTCCGCTTTCGGGATAAGTTAATTAATTTTCATGGACATGGATGGCAGAAAGTTTGCTCCTCGCGACACTCAAATTTAAGAACATTTTTCGTTGCGTACAGATTCAATTTGCAGCGAAACTTGTGTAAAGTCAACTGAGACCGAGAGTGAGAGGCCGGGTCTTTTGTAAATATTGATTACTTGATAAGGCGCAGAATCCTTTAATGCTACGGACCATGGCTAACAACGGAAATGAGGCGGGGTGGCCAAACTTTTTGGAGGCGGGGACAAGAGCAAAAAGGCGAAATACCTTCATTAGGCGAATGAAGAAAAGCAAAAGTAAGTTGAAGAATTTTTAAGTGGTTTAAAAGGGTTTTGTCATACTTTTCATGTGGATCTCGCCGGGATCGACCCCTTTATCTTATGGCCACAAAATGGGGGCTGCCGCTGGTTGCGGCTGACGTTTCGTGTGTATACAACACCGTAAGCCGGGAGCAAGACATTTTAAATGTTTATTAAAACAATAAGGAAATGGTTTGTGCCAAAAACGGAAAAAGGCCAGGCGGAAAAGGAAAAACTGTAGCGAAAAAAGGTGAAAAAAGGCAGCTCAGCACACAAAAAGGGGGATAATCCCCGGCTGCACATAGACACCCTGGCACATGGACACATTCAGGAAAATAAGAAGGTTCTGGCTTTTCTTTCGGCGACCGTTTTGTCTTAAAAAGGTAGCAGACGCCCAGTATTTAGTGCTGGCCCTTCCTTTCCTTATTTTTATACCCTTGCAGAGCAAAGGGTATTATAATTTCAGTCAGAAGTTTGCAACGCAGTGAAGGAGACACCTCAGACCCCATAAAGTATATATATTCTTGATCAGCATCACCATCTGAATCGAAATATGTATGTACGTCTGTCCGTCTGTCCGTCTGTCCGTCTGTCTGTCTGTCCGTCTGTCCGTCTGTCCGTCTGTCCTCCTGTCGGTTTCTATGTAAACTAGTCTCTCAGTTTTAAAGCTATCGTGTTGAAACTTTTCCAAAAGTTGTGTAGTTATTGCACGCAGTATATAAGTCGGAACGAGCCGGATCGGCCGACTATATCGGATAGCTCCCATACAAGAGGTCAAAAAAATAAGGGATAAAAAATTATTACGCCGTTGTTTTTGATCTGATCGACGTGAATTCTTCAAGATGGCGTTTTCTAACTGTTATTGAATTTCGGATTAAATTTTATCAAAATCGGATAACCCTATCATATAGCTGCCATAGGAAAGATCAAAAAATATATATAGAAATAATGACAAAATAATCATAACGTTGTTGTTTTTTATTCCACGAGCATGATTTTTACACATCGACTCTATGAACTACCCTTGAACCGAGAAAAAAATTTCATAAAAATCGGACAACTATATCATATAGCTGCCATATGAACAATAGTCGAAAATATGGAAAATTAATAGAAAAGTCGTCATAGCTTCGATGTTGTTAGCCTTTATATTTTTTGTTCGATATGTTTGATGACTGCAAGGGTATATAAGCTTCGGCTTGCCGAAGCTAGCTTCCTTTCTTGTTTTTTTTTTTTTTGGCTAAAAGGTTTTGCCTTCCCAACTCCTAAGCCGGTTTAGCTTTGTTCTTCGGTCAGATTCATTAACGTGGCTATTTAGATAAGCGTGAAAGTAACCAGCCGACCCCAAGTTGAATATTAAAGCTGTTCAGATAAAACTCCCCAACTCGCAGTTCCGATGATGATTTCTTGATATTTATAAAATAACTCAAGTGGCAAATCGTTTGCCCAGTGGAAATGCTCCTCCATTTGCCGACTTCTCGGACGATAATGATGGCCAGCATGATGATGATGATGATGATGATGATGTGGCCATTGAACGGAGCAGATAAGGCCCAGTCATCTTTGAATCTGTCTGGTCCAGTCAACGGTAAAAACTGTTTTCATTCCGCTTAGGCCCAAAACGCTTTTCGATTTCTGACCACACACATCCACGTTCGGGCTTCGAGTTTGGGCTGTGGGAGCTGTTGACCAAAAAATCAGTATTTCACGCTAGAACGCATTTTTGTCAAGGCATAATTCCATGGGATTTATTTATGTATGTCAGCTCTGGCCGTTGTTTCCCATTCGGCATCACAGCCCCCTGCACTCCCCCATTTTTTATAGTTACTGCCTCCGAGCTTTGAGCTTATGCGTGTGTAGGCAGTTTGTAGTCCGTGGTGTCCCTACATCGCCCTCAAATCACTAGTTCCTGAATTATTATGGAAAGCATAAAATGAATGTCCAGGCCATTTATATTTATAACCGAGTTTCGTACGCTTCAGCAGATTTATTGCCTGCCTTGAAATTAAATAAATTGAAAAGGCTGGGGAAAAACTTTAAAGGCAGAGCTGAAGAGAAATTGATTCAGAATACTCGTATTAGGGCGTTGGCAAGAAATCTGTTTGATCAATTGGCTGTGATTTTTGCATACGCTTTGTGACAGAGCAGGGTCAATTAGGGTTTAATTGATTTATTTTCGCTTGCCTAACATTTTCAAGGGTTCTTCTTTTCTGTTGAATAATGTTAAGGTGAAGTTGTAAACATGTTTTTTTTTCGAGCGGCATGAGGCCTAAAAAGTAAATTAGCATCGTAGAGGTTAATCAATCTTCTTGGTTTTGATGATGTTTCCCATGTTTTCGGCGCTGGCAAGACGCCATGTAGCGAAAATTAAGGCCAATGTATTCGGAATGCTTTTTAATTTAAGTGCACATGCACATGACAAGGCAGCCAGCAGGAGCAACACGCAACGGAATCATAAAAGAAACATCACAACTGCTATCGGGATGGGTGGTTCGGTGGTGCTCCTCGGTGATGGGTGGTTAGGGGGCGCAAGGTTAACCACAGGCATTCTGTGCGCCGCGACAACGGCAGCAGCCACAACAATAAGAACAAATGATAATAATGCAACAATGAACTGCACAAGAAGATGATGAAAAGAATGAGGGGGCGTGGCCGGGAAGTCGACATTATATCTTGTTCGCTGCACACATTGTCAATTCGTTTGCCTTCTCGTTCTGCTCTTTTTTGCTCCCTTTTCTGTTGTGGCAACTTTTAAATAAATTTAAGTGCATTATACAACGAAAAATCTGTCGTGAAGAGGGAAGAGCGGGGAGTAATGCGATTAAATGCATCTCAGGCCCTGAGCCTTTCTTTTGTTTCCGTAACGCTGGCAAATCAGTTTTGTGTCAAAAAGAAAAGCCACTCAAGATGCAGCAGGCGGTGATTTCCCTTTGCAGAGTTTCCTGATCTTTTTTTCGCCATGTGAGTGTGCAATAATATGTTAATATGCCTCGCCTGTGTGACAATAACAGAAGCCGCCGACGATGGCAACAGACATTAGCATTTCGGTTGGAGCTCAAGGAGCGGGAAGAACTGCTGCACAGAAAGAAAAGAGTTTTGACAAAGTGATTCTACAATCATAATATTTTTGGGAATCTCATAGTCTGTCTGGAATACTTTGAACTTTTCGGATTAAGCAAGAATTATTTTATAAATTATATAGGTAATTTAAATTAAATAAGGTGGATTAAAGTTTGAGTGTGATTTTGGAGAGTGTATTCCTCTCCTGGCATCGACATGTTTATTGCGTTTAATGTTTGCGTAAATTTTTTCGTACTTGCCGTCGTTGTTGTTGTGATTTATGATGCTAATGACACGCAGACAGGCATCGTCTTCCCGACTTTCCATGCAAAATGCTCAGCTTGCCTTGATGGTTATTAAATTATGGCAATTTGTATGCGTCGCAGAGGATAAAAAAATGTAAGGGGAGTCGGTGTTGTTTATTTAAAACATGTTGCCAAACAATTTAAGTTAAATATTTCTCGAGCAGCTCGAAGAGATCTGCCATTTTGGCATTGGATTTATGCAAAACCCTGGCGATTGGCAAAATTTCATGCGCCGGCAAACGGAAGTGCTGAATGAAAGAAAACTGTTTCTTCCTTTTCCGCTTTCAGTTGCCGCTGCACATGTGTGAGTGCAGTAAGCCATTCGAAAAATAACTTTTCAATTTCCGCAAAACCACAGAAAATATCAACTTTGCACAAAAATTTAATAAAACTTTTCGCATAAATAAAATTTGCATTAAATCAGCTGCAAGCGACGCCGGCCGAGGAAGAGGGGGCGTGGCGGCTTAGGGCGTACCGACTGGAGTACAAAACGCATGTCGAGAAACTTAATTTGAAATATTTGAGTTTGCTATTTGGTCTGTGAGTGTGTTTGCTTGTGCATTTGTGTGCTCGCCGCTCTTCCTGCTTTCGTTTGCATCGAAACTAATCGAGAAAGTTCGAAAATTGGCATCCCGTTCCCCACTTGCAGCACAAAAAGTTAACTAGTTAGCTGGGGAGAAGCATTAAGTATACGCCGCATTGGCCATAATTCCAACTAAAACAAGTCAGTTACCAAAAGGCTTCCAGCTGGAAGCTGGAATTTCGACTTTGGCTTAAATACGAGTATGTGGATACGGCTGACAGCTGGGCGGGCAGAGGAAGGGGGCGTGGCAGCAGCAGCCAAGTGTCAGAGATTATGTTGTATTTGCACACGACACATTCCCACACAAATCCGCGCTCATCTCTTCGATGTCAAACAAATCACTGGCTTGCCTGCCAAGTTATTGGGCCATGTCTGGTGCACACTTCATGGCATTAGCATTAAAATTTAATTAATAATTTTGAACATTTGCCGCCGAATTGACTAGCAGCACCTTTGGCTTTTACGCCTTCTGCGGCGCCTGATTTGGCTTTTCACAAAGTATCCGTCTCCATGTGTGGCTGTGTGATTCCGGTTTCTAAGCCTTAAGCTTGCGCATTTTTTCTGCTCCACTGACTGACACGCAATTCGTTTGGCTTAAGTTTGCCGTCTTTGAAGATTGATACCAAGTTTATGCGTTGAATTTTACGAATTCTCGTAAAAGTTAAACTCATTCGAAATAACTATCGTTTATAAAATTTTTACAGATTTCTTATCATTGAAGCACCTTCATTTATTCAAGATCAAAATGGTTTTTATACGAAGAAAACTTGGGTGCTTCAAGTTTTTTAATTTCCGTTTAAACAGAGCAGTTTTCATGAAATATTGTGGTTAAAGCGCCCATAAACTTAGTAAAAGTCTCCGCCTCTCGGCATCTGCAGCTTTGTGTCGAATTTTCTACCTATTAGGCACATGAAATTCAATCACAACACAGATACACATACACAGGGATATGGAGTCCTGCCATCAGTTACTTGGACCCTTATCAGTTGCGGTTTAAACATATTGAATATGATGTGTAAATGTTTACAGTGCCCCGAGGGTGGATTTTTGGGCTTTTTTCAGCCTTCGGGGACCCGTGAGACTCGTTGCATCTGTGGCCATAAAAAACATTACAGATTCGTGAGCCGTACGCTTTTGATATACGAGTGTGTCCATGAGGAAGAGAATAAAATCAAATACTCGCCCCTTGGCAGTTAACCGAGAGAAGGGAAAACCAGAATGCATTAAATCTTAAAAATGTGTTCGCTTCGTTTGTCTTTTCCTTGGCTTATGTATATCTTATAGAAACAACTGGGGGTGGATGAGGGTTTCGGGAAAAGGTGGGCCAAGCCACAGGTGTCTTTTGATATGTTAAGTTGCTGGGTCGTCAACCAGGATTCCGGCTAAAGTTTCCACTTGCTTTAATTAAGATTTCATTTGGCAACTCCCCGAAAACCGAAGGGATATGAGCAGGTGCTTTGTGTGTGTGCTTACTTAGAAAATTAAACTTGTGTAAGGACTAATGCGAGTTTGATTGAAACATTTCTAATTGCCGCCGAAGGACGCCTTTGATGTTGCAAGTCTGCTGGCATAGCTTACCGATTTCTTGACAAAGCTGACAAAGCCATATCCCTTTGATTTCAAGGTCTGCGGATCACGCACAACTCTGCAGTCTCTGCAAAGAAGATAATATAAACATTAATCTAGAGTATAAAACTTTACGCCAGAAACAATTAAATGTAGCTATGTGTAATTTATTTGGGTAATTTGGAGTTATCTGTTCACTGTTTAGACTCTTTTAACCTATTTTGGCTAAAGGGATGGATAAGATAAGCCAGGCGGGTTGGCAGAAAGGGTGAGCAAATTAAAAGGCCAAAGTTGGGCCAAGTAAAAGTCAAGAGGCAAAGTCGATGTCGACATTGGAAATCCAATGGAATTACGTGTGAGAAAATATGAAGCGTTGAGCAAGGAAAGCCAAATCATTGCCGAGAAAAGGGATTTCGCAATGGAGTTGCAAAGATATGGAGTGCAGGCCACCGCCTTCAAGGGTGTATCAGTGGGCGTGGCCAAGGGGATTTGCCACGGCCTCGAATCCCATTCCTATTCCCATACCGAAGCCCCTAAACCCTAAACCCCGCCAAAACCACCAAACCACGTGTCGTGCCATGTCGTGGACGCTGCTCGAGAACCGGGCGTCAGCGCTCGGCTTAAATATGTTGGCCCGTCCCAGCTAAGCCACGAAGAAATATCTCCCTCCCCCCGGATCGCCGCCCATGTGTGTGCGATTGTGTGGGGCAACCGCAACAGCAACAACAAGCTGGCGGAGCTACTGGCAACCACTTTAGGTCACTCCGAAAAAATGTGTTTATCAAATTTTAAAAATATATTTAGGAGGACTACGACTCTTTTAGAGTTATCTTAAACTTAAAATATGTAAATGTAATTGTTGGTACATCATAGTCGTAGTTTCTGTATTCCATTTCCTGTACAAATTCGGAGGTGGGAGAACTAAGACAACTGCTTATTTTTTGGTATCCTTTTTTCAAAGTGCAGTTGGAGCCAGGAAGGCAAAACCCGCATGTCGACCACGGCATTTAAAAAGGCCAACTTGATTGTAAATCACGATAAAAGTCAATTTTTAATATGAGTTTTAGTTTGGCCCGTGTTACCCCATCTCCCTCCCCCAATGCTAAGTGGCCGGCGAAAAAAGAAACGTATTTTAATGGCTTTTGGCGCTTTGGCTTTGGTGGCGCTTCAAGGTTGCAAATTTATGGCTGGGCTGGCCAGAAGCGAAATTGCACTACGATTGCCTGCGAGATTCAGTCGATGCACACATAAATATCGAACAAAAAACATATTTAATTAAAGTTTAATATTTATTAGCTACCAGAGGAATTCGGCAGCAATTGCTTGGGGCCGAGGTTTGTCTGGTTTGGTCAGGCGAAAGGTTTTCTGCCTGGCACGCAAACAAACACAGAAACACGACATGCATGCACCAACAGAACGGGGAACAAACACCAACAAAGTATATAGATACACTTTCGTAAAAATGTTGTGTTCAAAAAGTACCATTTATGTATTCCAATAGATAAAATATTAAAAAAAAAAAAAAAAAAAAATATATTTCTTAGAAATATTATCCATTTTCAAGCTCATTAATAACAAATATGGTTTCTGATCTGTTGCTGTGTTTTACAAAAATGTTTTCCCCAATCAGAATGATTTCTCAAACCTTCTCGTTAAATCGTAAAATTGTTGGCTGTGCAAAAGCACACACATCCTGTCAGCGGGACTGACTGCCACTGGGAAGGATTGTGCTAACAAATTAAAGGCCAGGACAGTGTGTGCACTCCCTTCGAGACCTCCCGCCACCATATCCCCGGAGTATATCATATTTCACAATCGATAAACATCACAGTTCATATTTTCATAACGTTTTTGTTTGAATATTTTAACATGCAGACACAACAGGCGGGTCGGCGGAGGAGGTGTACAATTTCCTGCTTGCATGTAAATACGAGCTCGAAAATGTCTGCAAGTGCTCTTCGCTCCGCACCCACATCTCAGGGGCTGCAATAATATATTTGAACATTTAACAGAAAACAAACACAACCTTTGTGCCTCAAGCCAAGAGATTTCCGTGGAGGAGCATCGATGGCCCTCGAACTGCGTTTGCCACACAGTTTGTTATCATGCACGAGGAGCTTGGAAAATTTCAGGCAACGGCTGCAGCCAGGGGGCGGGTCTGAGGGTTGGGGGGCGTGGCAGCAGCTGTGCCCAATGTTTGTCCAAAGAATTGAGCGACGAAGTCGATGTGGTGAATGTGAGGCACACAAGAGATGCAAAAGACAACCTCAAAACTTTGATTTGCGAAGCTGAATTTTAAATACACTTTCAATCTGGTTTTAAAAGATTACAAACATGTCATAAATTTTGAGTCATATCGATAGCAAATTTGTATTAATAGCACATAAAATTAAGTGATTTATGAATAGACTTTGAGATTAATAGTATAATTAAAGTACATTGCTTTAATAACGAAGAAATGTCTACCAATTTACAAATTAATGACCACCAATTAGGTAACATTTAATTAAACATAAACACTGTAAGCAAACAAAATTGAGCTAAGCTGAAAGTAAAAGCGGAAAATTTGAAAACTCTTAGGGAAACGATAAATTTATGTGCACAAGTAGGATCTGTATGCACATATCTGTATCTACATATAAAAGCCTTTTCCGACTTTTATTCCCTCCTTACACTTTTCTCAGGCCAATCAATATATTTTTTACAAATATTGGCAAAAGTTTTGCTTTTGGCTTAAGCTCAGTGCCTGATACTCGAAAATAAATTTAACCAGAAGAGAGAAAGAAAATATTTTGCTATCTTAAGTGCATAAAACTATAAACGTTAAACAAAATAATTCGCATACACGCACGCACTCATACAAATGCGGTTATTTATACTGCATATTTTTTGGCTTTATTCCCAAAGCCTTTGGCCCGGGACTCGAGTAGCTTTTGGCCCGATCTATTTTTTGGGTTTGCCGGGACGGAGGAATGTTTGCGGTGCGCGCTGAGCGCATTAGTTGTGGAGTCCTCGGCATTTTGGCCTTTGCAATTGGTTTATGCCAGCAATGCAGCTCCCATTCCAGCCCCAGCCATGTGTTGGAAATTCTTTTGTATTTGAATTAAAATTGCATAGATGATTTATAGACGCTTCGAAGTTGGCCGGGCGAAATAAACTTATGCATGGGATTTTTGTGTACCACGAGAGTGGAGCGGGGAGCGGGGAGTGTGGGCCAAGGCATTGATAACTGCTGGGATATAACTCTTGAGTTCGAGTGGGCTTTCCCAGCCCACATAAAATATGAGTTCGATTTTAATATGTATTTGCGAGAAGATCACAATTTGATAGTTTAATGGCTGAGCTTTGTTTGCACTGAAGCCGTTTTTCTTGCGTGTATCTAACAATGTGGACACTGGTTTCCCTTTGCCATCGATTGCAATAAAGACATAGGAAAGCCAATGCCGGCATTACCAAGAAATCGACTGGTAACATATTTATTAGGGCGTAACTTGCCTACGCAACTTAACCAGCAATTTGCAATTTCCTGGCCACTTTAAGAGCGTTATCTGCACCCCATCGGCGTACTTGGCAGACATATAATTTACAAATCGGGCCATCGCTGGTGCTGGGGGGCTGGGACATGCTAAACACATCAACAGCAATGGCAAACACAAATTACTCAGCAGTGCAAACAAATGAAAAGCGATAACATCGCGTACTCGTACGCCACAAGGGAGAATGTAGAATTGAGAACGAACATATATAAGCTGGAGCCAAGTCGAAATCCCTGGCACTAAATCAATGAATTGCGGTTGTCCTTCAATTTCCTTTTTGGCCAAGTAAGTAAGGCGAGAGCGGAGCGCAGCTCATCGCATCATCTCATCCAGCATCGGCATCATCATCGACATTGAGTTGCGTGTTTGAAATATTGAAATATTTTTGTTGGCCATGTTTACACATCGGGCTATTGACTGCGCACAGTTATTCCGCATTTTTTCGCCTTTCAGTTTTGAATTTCCACTGCGAGCTTTTCGCCGGGAATTTTTATTCGATTTGTGTTTGTCTCGTGCTTGCACTTTATTGGCTTCCTCTGCGCCGATAACCCTGATGGCTGATGATGATGATTTCCATTTCCTTGTTGGACGGGGTCGGGGGCGTGGCAGAGCTACTCCGCCGCCCTTTCAAATACCCGAATACAGTTGTAAATTCAAATGAAATGCAAGCGAGCGCATTGTTTGAGCTCCGGGATGGGAAAGCGGGTGGGGCTTCAATTCTGGCTTTTTGGTTAGCCAAATATTTAAAGTGGATTTCTTGGAGCATTTTATGAGCTTTTCACTGCGGCTGCCTTCTTTTATTTGATTTGATTTTCCGGCCAGTGGCATCTGCCGTCCCGGAGAATTAAGTAATAAATTTTGGTTCGAGGAAATATGTATGCGGTTGCCGAATCGAAACGGCAGCCCGTGCTGAATTGCTGTGAATTACAAATCCGTAAACGTCGCATCTTTGATGCGGTATGCACTCTGCAAAATGGGCAAAATGGCAGAAAAAAAAGCCAGAAGTGGAAACACAAACGGAAACGGAAAAACCGGAGAGACCCGGGCTCATCACGTCCTTGTCCTTGTCCCCCTGCCCAGACATCGTTACATTTATTTACACCAACATGCAAAACTCGCATTGAGACAATTTCATGCTCATCTGCATAAAATCAATTCCATTTTGGAGACAATTTGAAGATTGGAATACAAATTTCGAATTATCAACATGGGACCCGACTTCGGGGAGTCGTGGCAAAATGGCCAAACCGGCAGCGATCGCAATCAGCATTGAGACCTGACCCCAAACTCCTCCCTGTTCGCCACTCCTTTTTCTATCCGGCACTACAAAAAATTAGGTAACCTTTCCTCAAACTATATAACTTTATAAAATATCTATAAATAAAGTGTGTATTGTAGAAGAACAAGCTGTAATTTAATGGACTCTAAGCATCTTGTAAAACACCTAATTGACTTTTCTTAGACTACAAAACTTTTCATTGGAAAAGTATTCTACGTTTTTACTAATTTAGGAGAACTTTTGCCAGATTAAATAGTTTTATTTTTGAGTGCA